GACACGCCCTCGGCTCTTCAAAATCGTCTGCCTCATGCCAAACAAATTTTTCTCTGGCGTACCATGAAGTATGAAATGAAACCGGTGCTTCGAGAATCGCCTATCCGAGCTCCTAATGGGAACTGGGCAAGGAGCGATGAAAATAAAGTAACAGCTTTAGTTCAACATCTTTCAGATGTTTTTAAACCCAATGAAAGTCCCACTCCTTCAAACATCTTAATTACTAATAGTAACTCAACCGCTATTGCCCTTCGATTCAAGCTCAACGATTTAAGAAATACCAATGATATCTGAAATAATTATAATATATATAAGCCAGGTAAAGATCGTACCATTGTAGGTTCATACAGGCCAACCAGTTCAATCCCTGTATTATCAAAAAATTTTCGAAAAACTACTCGCGAATTGCAACCCATGATAGCACAAAGCAATACCATACCTCAGCATTAGTTTGGGGTTCGGGAAAAGCCATTGGTACCTTAGAGGAAGTACACCGAATAGTCTAATAAATTAGGGAATCCTTTTGGAGAAAAACATTACTGTATTATTATTATTATGCTTCTTATAAGAAAAAGTGTTGACTTAAAAAATTTTAATTCAATACAATATTAAAGTTTCTTATGTTCCGCTTTTTCGTCTTGACGTTTCCACCCCATCTCGATGGGGGATCTACCCCATGGGTGGGGCAGTTATCCATTTTGGGTCGTTTCAAAAATCATTAAAAAACCTATAGACATTCCAGAATAAATGACCGTAGGAAGATGAATATAAGATGCTAAATGTATATTTCGAGATGACCAAGCATTAAACAAACGAAATGATCGGCGTACTTTCGGCAGAGATTTAAAAAGAAAGTGGCGAATGCTCCCCCTTCTACCCTAAAGTCCTCTCTCGACGTACGAAAACCACACTATAAGTCACTCAACATGCCCGTGCTGGTGTATGGCGAATTAAAATATAGCGGCTCAACTGGCTTGACCATGTCGTTCGAATGGACACCGACGCCCCAGCTCTGAAAGTATTCTGCCTTCACTTGGCATTTCCAATTGGCGTCAATTGGCCAAAATCTCTTTGGCGGTTACAGCGCCAAATAAGAAAAAGAAGAAGAGAATAGATCTATAACCTTATCAGTTACACAGTGTTATAATCCCGACGAAATCCTTGACAGTGGTACCGGGAGGGGAACGGTACATGAGGTAGGAAGTTTAGTTTGGGTTAAAGTCTCACACTGACGGGGTTAGGCTTTCGATGCTTCCTCCTCGTAAAATAAACATGCTCAGTAAAAAGTTAACAATTTAAATCGACAAATAGTTTTATATCAACTTTTGTCAACTTCTGTTTATTTGTTTTTTGTACAACATATTTACCTCTATTGGTTACAATAATTTTAAGCTATAATAAACAATTTTTTAGTAAGTAAGTTATTGGTTTTGACTTTTTTTTTGTATGTACCCGCCCCCCCTAAATTTCGTTCTGGCATGTGTCGGAACAAGATTTAAAATCACTCAATCTTAAAAATAGTGGAAGAAAGCTGTATTATTTTTCATATTAAATATTTATTATACTGCAAATTTGTTATATTTTGATATAATTCCATATATTTGTGAAAACGTAGACGTAAAATACCAATGCCATACATACATACATATGTGCATACACGCATTCATCTGCTAGACGCTATTTAATGAATTAATATTTTGTATGAATCGAGGAAATAATAGTTTAGCAACAATTTATTGGGAAATAAGCCTAATTACTTTAATATCATAAAAATTTATTTAAAGAAAAATATTTTTCTATTTAAAATAATAAAATCTAAGCTAAAAATAAACTATACAAAAATATTTACTAAAAATATTAACGAAAATTAAATAAAAAATCTCCCTGCCCCACGACTTGGACTCAAACTCGGCTCTCTGAATTGGCAGTCTAGTGCTTTGCACACTCGGCCATTGCGCCTGATGGGGCAGCAGCGTGAGCAAAATGACATACATAAATGTCTGTTGTTTCCTTTGCATTAACTGATTTCGAATCAGCATTCGAAGCGGGCAACGATATTTTCAAGTTCAATCGGATTCAGTGATAGCTATTTTTTCGGGCATTTGAATTCGTAGATTTTCTACGATGGATTCCGTGATACCCCTGAACAACCGAAAATCATTGTACAAATAACTAAACCGGGCCCAAGTTTCTCGATAAGGGGCAACAAAGATTCTGTTTTACTCGTTTATAAAAGCAGTGGATAAAAATATACGTATATGCGAAGGGCAAATTTATCTCTTTAAATCAGACATGAGCACTTTTTTGCCCGCGCAGTAGCGAAAGTGCGAGCGCGGGCTGGAGAAAGGGAAAAACAGTTTACGGGAGGAAGGGTATGAAAAGTTGCGATAAAATTATTTATATCCCACCGACATCATGTTCACCGCAGTACGGCTGCGGTAATACTGACTTTGTGTACCAAACAAAGAGCAAACATTTTCCTCATATACACAATAAGCCATCGTTCGGACTTCGCTCCGATAGGAGTAGATTTGTTCCGTTTTGTCGAAAAAAATTGAAACCTAGTCCTCTACTTCGCTCAACTGAAAATCTGCTCCGTTTTGTTGCATCAACAAATTTACTCTTCAAATAGAAAGGAGGTGGGGTTTTTAATAGCAAACTAAAAGTTATATTTTACCTTTTTATCGACACGATTGTTACATTGGTGAGCTACAGCAACTTTGCAATTACACTTGAATTCGTGAATAGGCCCTCACAATCGCCCGATTTGAACGCGATCGAAAAATATTGCTCTGTCTAAAGTTCTGTAATTGCGTCGTTGCCCACCGATGTAACAATTGTCCCGGTAAAGAAAGAATGAAATAACTTTTTATTAATTTTAACCAAGGCATTTTAACTTTAATGATAATTGCTCGCTGGATTAAGGCGCCTTTACACGGGTCGATTTTCTAGTAGATTTCTGTCGTTCAACCAAAATCGAGCCGTGTAAATGACATCTCAACCACTAGCTGGTCGATTTTCCAGTCTACAGATATCGACCCTTATAAGGCCGCTTTAGCTCCTTATTTGTACAAGGATACGAGCAGAAATGAATTGTTTTTTATAAAGATAAGAAATGCACATCTACCACGAATACTTGATATTTACTTCCATTTTTGTAGTCCGAACCCAGCAAAGAGCGCTCGGTGAAGGTCAGCTAGTGATCAAATTTGCCAACAGGGCTGCCAAACATACATAGCTATGAAGTGCCATATTGAGGATAAAAAGTGCTAAAACGTGCCAAATAGAAAATTAAAAGTGCCAAAAAAGGTGTAATTCTCTTTAGTTCTTCCCATTAGCATTAAAATTAGACAAATTAAAACAAAAGTCCAATGTCAAAGTAAGATAAACCAGTTGTATACACTATAGAAGTACACGCAAAGGATTTCACAAAAATGTACTTAAATTTGGCTTTTTTTCAAAAGTGCCATTTTGGCACTTTGTACAAATTTGAAAAATTCAGTGCCATTTCATGTAAAATAGTGCCAAAAATGGCACGGTTTGAGCCAAGTTGGCAGGCCTGATCGCCAAGTTTTTTATTTAAAAAAGCACCAAAATACTGAAAATAGCGCAATTTTCCCCGAAAAAAAACACCAATTGTGTGTTGCTGTGTTTAATGGTA